CCCCAAAACCCCAAAACCCCAAAACCCCAAAACCCCAGGGCTGCCAAATAATATTGAAAACAGTTTGATTAATAATTTCAAGACTTTATCAGATATTTGAGGTTTCTCTGAATTTCATAAAAATTAACACTCTTTATCAGCTTAGAAGAAGCAGTGGCAATATTTTTGACAGATATCCTCCAGCTCTGATATAGAAGAGGGAGGGCTCTTTTGCAGTAGTTGTTTCTCTGTTGAAGCAGTAGTTGATATAGACTGGATGTTAACTCATTGTACTCCTCCCTGCCTTCACACATCCTGAAGCTTTGTTGGATTCTCTTTTATCACAAATTGTCCTTTTTCAGCAGAGTATGTCTTAAAAATAGAGAATGTTCCAAGGTCGCCTGAAGATCCATTCAAGGTATTATCAAACAAATTACCTTGCAAATTTGCTTGTTGGTGGCCTTCATTCTTCGCTGGGATAATCAGAACTTGAGCAGGATAAAGAGGAAGTATTTCCTTTGTATTATTTTTGTTGGTGATAACAATATATGGAACTTTAGAGTAAATATTGTTTCCTGTATTAATCAATTTATTATTTCTAGCCTTAACCTCCATCTTTTGGTGTCTCTTTTTGCTCGCTCTACATTTATGAGATTTCTGTTTTGCTTTCATAAGAGCTCCTTGCTTCCAAGTAAATGCTTCACTATTTGAATCTGAATATTTGGGTTCTCTCTTGTTCATTGCCTTTCTGAAGTCTTTCTGGGAGCTCTCTGATTTTGCATAACTCCTCTCAGCCTTAGATTCAAAGAACTCATTTGAGCTAGATTCACCACAGTATTTCATCAGGTGCCCAGAGCTCTTGTTGTTAGTAAAGCTTCAGAAATCTTCCTTTCTAGCACTTTGAAGTTTGTGCCCTATGTTTAAGAAGCTGGTCTTATTCTCCACTGGGAGCTCTTGTAAGTCAATGGAAATCTCTTCATTCTTTTCCTCTTCTTTGTTAGGTCATTGATTTAACTTACTTAAATTGAAAGGCAAATTATTGTCTACCATGTCTTGCCTGATTAATTCAATGGGATCTTCTGTGTTTCATCACTGTTTGATTGCATTGAAGTATTTCCGAGAATAATATCTAATCTGAGGGCTACTTTTAGTAAGAATCTACAGCTCAGCCACGAGAATTACCATCTGATCAATCTTGTGCCATTCCTTGCCGTAGGTTTTGAGACCTTAAAGTGATGTAAACTTTACCTTGCACAAGCTGGTTATGCTCTTCGGTTGACCACTTTAGTTCTTGTCTGCTTCTCTTAATTAGGAAATAAAACATTTGAGATGTGTGAGGAAGCTTCCTTGTGCTAATAGGCTGAGGAACAGCAAATCAAGATGTGAAATAAAACATAGGATAATTTACCCAGAGAATTTGATGCATATTAATAGTTATGCCTTGCCGAGATCATGAGCTCGACTAGAGGATCCCTCCTCTGTTCAGATACAACAAAAATGAGGTCATAAAGGTGGCTAACTGGGATGCTATATCTCAAAAATGGAGCAGCTGAATTAATCTGGCGTATTCCAATTCTTCAGCAAACTGCATCTTCAGAGATTAACTCCCTAGTCTAATTCGAAGTCTTCATGAGGTGATTAATAGCAGGATGAATTTATTAACTAAATAAGGCTAAGCGTCATTATAATCCTTACAGATGGAAGAAGCTGACCTCCTGTTGATTCGGAATTGCTCTGCAAATTAGTTTTACTCTTTCTCATTTGTTGCTGTGCAAGTTAGTTTAGAACAAACGAAGAAATTTTAGGATCGGAATGAGTTATGAGCTGTTTTAGAGTTACCCAATACTCAAGTTTATGATATCAGGGGACTCTAATATGGAAAGCCTTTCAGAGAAATTAAGAATTTGAATGACTGTGGAAATTTTATGAAAAATTGTGAAATAAAAGGTAAAATTAAATTTCAAACTTCCCAAAATCTTAAAGCGCAGCTTCCATCCCTTAAGAGAGCCAACGAAATTCCGAATAAATTATGATACATTCCATACAGTTTATTGTGTAAATTTTCTGAAAATTATTGGGCTGTAAACTCTCCATTCAAAATTTATCTTTTAAAAGAATCAAATTTATCTTACTTTCATGAGAATTTGTGAAGAAATTATGAAGAACTTAAAAATTTAGAAGTGGCTTAATAAACAGCCGGATAAACCAGAGAACTATCTCAAGCAGAGAAGCAGTTCTAAAAATTAAGATCATCAGGAAGGGAGTCTCAAAAAATTTTATTTTATCTTATCATAACACTTTAACTTTTTGTGTGAAAAATATGTCAGTCAGGAATAGTACCTGAAGCCTCGCAAAATTCAGAGATGAATAACTAGAGGATGCTTCGCTGCATTAAATTTAACAGTCAACATTAAAATGATCTGGCTGGCGTCGGGCTCAATATTCACTATTTTGACATAAGTCTCCAGATTATGATTGATACTACTCAAAATAATATATAAGTTCTAATCCTTCAAGAAAAATGGGTCTTTTGAGATTCAAACTTTTTAGCTTAGAGACAAAGGACACCGAATTGAAGAGTAGCAATACTTTTGTTATGTCTGAAATATTTCTAAAGCCAATCACGACTAAAGCATGATTTCTAATGCGAAGTTTAATGCTGAAATATTCCAGAATAATTTTATTAAACTTTAGTTTCCATAATCATGAAGTTATCTGTGTCTATAAAGAGAACAGAGTGGTGTCATGGCCAAAACATTCGCTATAAAGCTTCTAGATGAGAATAAAACTGTGATATCTTCATTAAGGTTTATTATACTTAAACCCAAGTTGCTTAGGGCTGAGAACTTGGTTTTGAGCTTTGTAAGCTTAGTGAAAGAGCTTAAAAAATTAAGAGCAAGTATAGTAAAAATATTATAGTGTAGAGACCTAAAAATTCTTCAGAAAGTTCCTAAACCTTCCTATGTATATTCTCATAAATAGCTGGCACTATCCCTAACCTCTAATCTGAGGTTTAATCTAAAATATCTGCCTTCTTACTTTCCGTGTTCTCGCTTGGACTCAATATTTTTAATATTAAAGGGGTTTTGGGGTTTTGGGGTTTTGGGGTTTTGGGGTTTTGGGGTTTTGGGG